GTTGAAGATGAAAAAGCAATCAGTGCTGGAAACTTGAATGTTTCACAGCTACTGAGCTCCAGATTGAAAGTAAAACCCTCATAAATCTTCAGCTTGCTAATGTTTTGGAGTTTTTGGGGTTTTTTTGTTTGGGTGTTTTTTTTGGGTTTGTTTTTTTTTTTTGTGGGGGGGGTTTATGTTTTTGGTTTGTTTTTTGTGGTTTTTTTGTTGTTGTTTTTTGTTTGTTTTGGGGGGTTTTTTTTTCTTTGTTTGTTTTTTGGGGTTTGTTTTGTTTTTGTTGTTGTTTTGGGGTTTTTTTATATATATATAATAGGGGTAACCAATTAGAATCAAAGTGTTTGGAAGATTTTTTTTTTTCTTCAGACCCGAATTTCTTATCTGTCATACCATTCTTCAGTGTTCTTGGTGGTTCATAATGCCTCCAGGAATTTGAATGTGTTGTCAGAACTGTGACATGCTAGATAAACTATTAGCTTTAAGAACACAACTTCTGCATGTTTGGGGTGCCCAGAAACTCTTGAATTCTACTCTTGGGATTCCTCACATAGTGAAAGGTGCTGTGCAAGTTGAGGTATTCAGACCAGCAATTTGAGTTCAAAATGTACTTTGTATGTTCCCCATTTTCTGGAAGTTTGCAAAGCTTACTCAGCTGTGATGTGATGAAGAAATTTTTCTGAAAATAGCAAATACCACTTGGAAGCCATGAGGCTCCAGCCATCCTTTGGGGATTTATTTTTCAAGAAGAATATGTAGCTTGCTGAGATGTTTACAAGTTTGTTTACAGGATAAAAGCCTGGTTATGAATTTTTTCTTTTGTTCTTGAGTTTGGCATTAAGGCATTTGCAATTGCATACTGAGCATTCTGTGAATGCTACCAGTTAAGAAGGAGCATAAATCAGAAACTCAGGAGCTAATCCTGAAAAAGTAAATGTCTTGAAGATGCACCATGCCCAGACTAACGTGTTGCACTGATTTCTTAAGGTCTTTGAAGAGCTGTTACTTGATGCAGATTGGAGTGTGAATGCAGGAAGCTGGATGTGGCTGTCCTGCAGTTCCTTCTTTCAACAGTTTTTTCACTGCTACTGCCCAGTGGGTTTTGGCAGAAGAACTGACCCAAATGGGGATTATATCAGGTAACTCACAATCTGGAAATTGCAGTGGGTGTTGCTTAAACTATTGAGCAGCTTTATGCTTAACATGACCTTTTTACCCTTTTGTTATTTTTTTAAGACGTTACTTGCCAGTCCTTAGAGGTTTCCCTGCAAAATACATCTATGATCCTTGGAATGCCCCAGAAAGCATCCAGAAGGCTGCAAAATGTATTATAGGAGTTAATTATCCCAAGCCAATGGTAAACCACGCAGAGGCAAGCCGTCTGAATATTGAGAGGATGAAACAGATCTACCAGCAGCTTTCACGATACAGAGGACTGGGTATGATTATAGATTATTTGCTTTATTTATTTATATGAAACTTTTCTCACCTTCTAGCAATTAATAATTTAGTCTTATAGCAGTGAGAGTCAGGTCTAAGCTCAGGGTGGTGACCAGGGTTTGTATCCAAGAAAATATTATATGTAACTGAGAAAGGAAAGAGTTTGAGGGGAGTGCCTCTCCAAATATTGCTTGGATTATTTTTCTCTGGGTCTTTGGAAGTGTTTTTGTTAAGCTGGGTCTTTCGTGCATTCTGATAAACTCTTGTACAGTTAAGTTTTAGTACCGGTGATTGGAAATTTAATATGGTTTGTAACTTTGGCAATACTCTATTTGCTTATGCAAATGCTGTTGCAGAAGTAGGCACCAGCCCAGCCCTTGGTGGATTCTTCCCCTTTGCTCTGAGAGTTAAACCAGGTGCACTGTATTGCTCAGGAAGGTGTGAGCAGTCAGCATGTTCAGATACTGAGTATTGAATCAGGATATATTGCACTTAAACCCAACATACTCGATATGTGTAACTAAGGAATATTGGAAAAGTTATGCAGAATGTGGTGTAGAAAAAATCAAGTAAATGTGAACTAAAATTGTTTGGCAAGAAACAGAAGCAGGCAAGACAGAGAGGTGTTCTCCTGTCATAAAGTAAACCACTCAAGGTGAGGGTAAAGAGTTGGCTATCACAAGGAAAACAGAATGCTGCACTTGATTTTTTTTTCCCTCTAGCTATCTTTCTTTATATATTTTGTCTTGTTTTTTAGGTCTTCTTGCAACTGTGCCTTCTAATCCAAATGGAAATGGAAATGGTGGCCTAATGGGCTATTCACCAGGAGAAAGCATTTCTGGTTGTGGTAGTACAGGAGGTCAGTCAAATTATTTCAATACATAGAATTATTGATACTGAACTACATGAACTTCTTTTATAATGCCCTTGCCTTTTTGTATTATAAGGAAGAACTGCTTTCATAAGACAATTCTGAATGCAAGTCACAAGTGTTTCAAATTTATTCACTGCTTCATAGTGCTTGTATATAGACATCTTTAAATTATTTTTTTAATCTCAAATATGCAAATATTTTTCATCTGTGTTTGTCCCCCTCCAAAAATTACATATTAACTGCTCTCAAACAATTTGATTTCAAAAGCATTTGAATATGATTTTGTCCTAGAAGTGTATAAGCATCCTGATATGTGTAATAAGGAGTGACTTGTGAACTTTCAAGTGAGAATTGTTAACTTGTAAAGGTTTCTAATGCTGGCATTAGATTGCTTACTGGTATTTATTTATTTCTATTAAATGTATTAATTTTATTTATTTCTACTAGGAAAAAATAAGAACAGTATTAAGACTGTATTAACCCATGGTGTATCTTAAATGCTATATACACCTTAGACTCCTCAATGTAAAAGGGTACAGCAGAACTGGAAATCTAATGGTTTTATATTCTTTGTAGGCTTTGGTCAAGGTTAGAAGCAGATTGTGGAGGAAGGTGGACCTTATTGTTTTTAACCAGTACAGTTCTCCTAAAGATTTAAAATACAAACTCCTTAAAGCAGGGTACTGGTGCTTTTTTTTCTTATAAGTTGAGGACATGTATAAGACAAGAAAGGTTTATTTTTATAAAAATCATGTGCACTCTTTTCTCTTTAAAATGCATTCATATATACATGTACTTATGCTTTTCACATCAGAAATGTATTCCTTTTGTAGGAGGTTCAGGGAGTTTGGAAAGACAATAACCTTTAGAGCTTCAGACCAGTAATGAGGGGATTTGAAAAAAAGAAGTTTAAAACCCACAATAAAAAGCCAATGTCTTGAAGAGGGGGATAAGCCCCCCACATTTTAAATCCCAAAACGGGAGTTTTACCTTCTGGTATGTTTAAGCCTTTTCCCTGCCTCTCCAGGAGCTCAGCTGGGAACTGGTGATGGTCATTCTGTTGTTCAGTCATGTGCCCTGGGAGACTCTCATACAGGAACAAGTGGAATTCAGCAGCAAGGTATTATGGCAGTGCCTGTCTGTAGAGGATCTCCAAATCCTTGCAACTATGGAAAACCAGACAAAACGTCAAAGTAGCATGGATAGATTTTGGGTGACAGCTGCTGTATACAACATGAACTGACCTTGTTTCTGTTCTTGAAACATAGAAATTATTTCTTAGAGTGAACTTGCTTGTCTTGTCATTTTTATCTCTAAAGTGCTCATCTAGAGCAGTATTTGTATGCTTTGAGTGGGAGGGCTCACAAATGTGGCTAAAAAAATAAATAAACATTATCCTAGGCTACTTTAAGAGAAACTGAAAACCAGAAGTTCATCTTGTGTATTGGATTTCAAAATTTGTATGTTATCTTTTCCCCGATTTCACTACCGCTCTTTCCATATATAATTAATTTCCGCAGTTTTGTGTGGATAGTCTCTTATTGTGGAAGCAAATTTGTGTTACTTTAGGTATACAGAACCTTAAGCTGTGGTTTGTGATAGATCCAAGTTGCAATGAAATTTAACCCAATTGTTTGTTTCTTTGCAGTCTTAACAGAGGTGGTGTGTTTACTGATCAGGAAAGGCTGTAATCTGTGTTTTGTTTAAGCACCCAGAATGTAACTGGAACACCGCAACTGTTCAGAACAAGAAACCTTGCAACTGCTTCTGCTGATTGCACTGTTCACGCAGAACACTCAGTTTCAAGGTTGCCAGTAGATAGTTCACATGGATCAGAAGAAAGTTCTCATCTTTCTTTTAATTTGCTTTTTTTTTGTTTTTCCACATCTAAGTTATGCCAGGGATTAATTTGTGTTGCTATAACAAAATAATAAAAAGGACTTGGCAGAAGTAAAATTTAAATTTAGAATTTAATTTAAAATTTATAACAACTTATAGTTAAAGTGTTTGAGTATACAAGCATTCTACTTGTTGCAAATATAATGCATAAATATGTAGGCACTAAATGTTCACTCTGCAGATATCAGTGCATATATGTTTAACTGCTACAGACTACCATGAGGCTTATTTTTCTTTTGCATAAGAACTCTTCTGCATTCAGGATAGTTTCTGGCAGGATTATTCTTGATGATGGAAAATAAATCAATTGGCTCCTTTTTGTTGTGGTACAGAACATGATTTTACACTTGCTTGCAGCTCTAAATTTTATGTAGTATAATAAATATCTACTGTATCTGAACAGGTTACTGTCAAGCAAGTAGTATCTTACACTATGCTCATGGAGACAATCAGCAATCACACTTATTGCAAGCAGGTAATTTAAACAATAATGAAAAAAAAATCCAAAAACTTTTCTTGGATGTATAAGGGTGCAATAGAGTCTTAATGTAAACACTGATTTTAAATTATCAGGAAGAACGGCCCTTGGTACTGGCATTAGTGCAGGGAAACGCCCAAATCCAGAAGAAGAAACTCAGAGCGTTGGACCAAAAGTCCAGCGACAGAGCACAAATTAAACTGGTAAGATCTGAGGCACCTTCAAGTTATCAAAGTTCTGTACAGATTTTGTGTCTGTGATAACATTTATGTCACTGCAATGCAAAGGATCCTCAACTATTGCTGTAGATATTTCTTTTCTGGGGATTGTACAGACAGTATGAAATTCTGGCTCCGAGAGTTTGTGAAGTATGAGATAGGAAGTAGTTGCAAAAATAGAGCCAGACTGAAGATCATCAGACGCAGATCCAGGTGTTAGTGAAAGGAAGATGGATAAACTGTGGTTTTAATACATTAGCAGAGCTGCTTAAGTAGCTTCAGTTACTCTCTGTTCCCACATCTCACCTTAAGCTGTGCCAGTAGCATGGTTTGTATGAATGTATGGTGATCTGAATCAGGAGACTAAGACAACTTAAAAGGAAGAGCTCAGGGCCTGGATTAGTTTAGATATATAAGTGGACTAAGCAGTACATGTTTTAGACTGGCAGAAACCTGCAAAATGCTGATGTGGTTCTTGAGTGTGAAGATGTAGGGACAAATAAGATTTGAAGATGTGAGCCTTTGTCATTGGCCTGTAATTGAAGCAGGTTACTCAGAGTGCCCAACTTTGTCACGCTGTGGTGAAAAAGACTTGAATTTGGAGAAGGCATTGCAGATGGATGCACATAAACAGGTGTGACAATGCGGAGAGAGAAGTAGAAAACTGGAGAAGGAGTTTTGTATGTGTAAAATCACCAACATAGAGAAGATAAGTCAATTGTGGTTTTTAAAGTTGGGAACAGGATAGAGGAAAGAGAAGGCCAAAATTGTTGTACCTCTTCCCCCAGTAAGCTTGATTTGAGAGGAACAAGGAAGGTGACCTGAAAAGAATTAAGACTAAATTAAATCAAAGAGTAATTACTAAGGAAGGAAGCCAAATAAAGGAGGACTGTCTGAAATGAGAGAGGACAGGATTTCAAGACTGGAAGTGTGTCTGCAAAGGTTAAAAGTGATCAAGATGTTTAAAAAAAAACTAAGTGGAGCACTGGTCAATTATGAAATTTGAAGAATAAGAACAGCACAACAAGCGAGATAATAGCACATGGAGAGACATTATTGGAACTGGAAAACAGGGATTCCATGCAACAAGTGTAGGAGATACATTCATCATCTCTAGAGATAAAAAGGGGAATTCAGTCTACTTTATTTGGTTTTGACAGCAAGATCTAATTTTGCTTGTTATACAGTGGCAGCACTTCATCAAAGTTACTGCAGTGCATTTGGAACAATTGTGTCGTACTGATTTGATTCAGTGCACAACCACGGCATTGTTTCCATAATGCTGTCAATTGAGCAAGTGAGCTGAGACCTTAGTGAGTGATCCATCTGCTATTTTCTCACATACTGGAAGCCCTATAAACTGCTTCTGTGTCCTCAAACTGATTTCTGTTACTTGGATGGGCCTGAGTGGAACATAATTCCAACAGAGTCTGTGTTTCAGTAGCTGTCTAATCCTTAGTATGTGTAGATTCATTCAGCATCCGTGTTTTGTATTGCAGAATTCCTTAGGTGCTCGTGTCTGTGTAGAAGAAGTACCTGCAGAGCGAACGTCTGGTTCCTGTCTAAGTTCTTTTTCAATTGAGAGACAGGTTGGAGGGGTTTTTAGTTTGGCAGAGAAGATGATTTCGTTAGGGGTGTTCAAAGCATGCTGCAAAAGCATTATATTCCATACAAACATCAGCCAAGATTTGTCTGTGTAGAAGAAGTACCTGCAGAGCGAACGTCTGGTTCCTGTCTAAGTTCTTTTTCAATTGAGAGACAGGTTGGAGGGGTTTTTAGTTTGGCAGAGAAGATGATTTCGTTAGGGGTGTTCAAAGCATGCTGCAAAAGCATATTATAGTCCATACAAACATCAGCCAAGATCATACTCAAAAACACTGCTGGCAAAAGGTCGTGCACTTCTGAATAGCACTCAAGTACAGAGTACAGAGGCTTTTGTTGGGTTTCTCTTGTTTTGTTTCCTTCTTTTAGCCTCTAAGGTGAGAAATAAGAATTCAGAGTATTTGGGCCAATACAGATTGGGACAGGGCTTCCTGCATTGAGAAGGGGGGAAACAATATTGGTCCCTTGAATTCTGTCTTCAAAGACTCACATCAAACTGCTTAAGAATGTTTTTTTCTTTTTTTCTTGCAGCTTGATTGGAAGAGAAGTTTGCCACTCAAAGAACACTTGGGACAAAATTCCTGCTACTCTGTATTGGAGCTAAAGTGTTGTGAGAGTTCATGTTCTAAAAGTACATACTTTTTCATAAATTATTTTCAATTGTTCTCAGTTGTTGTAAACAAGTCCAATTTTTGCAATGCATTATTTCTAACTGGCATTTCTATGGTTTTTAACTTTTTAATGACTCTTTCACAAAGGGCAAATTGAGTTTTGTATATAAAGTATTTGGTGAAGAATTTGCTAACTTATTGTAAATATAAATATTCATGATTAGTGATAGACCCATCAATATATTTTTGATAATCTTTCATGTATATGGTAGTAGGAAATGCTATAGTGCTGTTCTGAAAAACAGATGAAAATAGAAAGTTTCAAAGTTTTTAAATCATTATTTTTAGATTCCATACTTGAGCTCTGTATGATCAATTTCATATTTTCATATTGTAAGTGCTTAGAACTGTGTTTAATCAAATACAGTAGAGTTGTAACCGTAATTACTCACATCTGTATATAAAACACATGCCAATTTTAGTCCAGTTGTAAAATTTTCATGTATATGTCCAGTCCTTGTATTTCTCAGTTGCCTTGTTCAGTAATGACATACCTTGTTAATAAAAGAAAATTGTATATATAGATACATATGGTTGTCTTTTGTGTAGTCTGTTGCTCCTGCTTACATTTCCAAACAGAACTGTTTCAGGAAAAAAGAGAAATATTCTTTTTAGACTTAATCTGGACGTCATAAACAATTAACTATATTACCTTTTACTTCCAAGTAATCATGAAGCAAAACAATATTCAAATTATCCAGGCCTGTTTCTTGAAACTGGATGTATGTATTCTGACCATGAAATATTTTTTACCAATGTATTTAATAACTGTTTCTTCACAATCTAGGTGTTTGAGTTGGGTTTTTTTTTCCCTGCTGTAATTGCAATTTGCTTGATAGCTGCAAAGTCTTTCCTGCAATGCATTAATTTGCTGCTTTTTGAGGATCTTGATTTCAGACTTGCTTGAATGCTCAGTCAATACTCTCAGATTTTTAGAGAAGTTGTATCTAAGTGTTTTCTTAGACCATTAAGATCTCTGAAGAAGCAGTATGAATTTGCATATGACTAGGTTAGTTTCCTACTTGAGTGGGTGCCCAGATTAAAATCCTAGAATATCCTGAGTTGGAAGGGACCCAGAAGGATCACCGAATCCAACTTCTGGCCTTGCATAGCACCATCCCCAAGAATCTCAGGCACCATGTACCTGAGAGCGTTGTCCAAATGCTTCGTGAGCTCTGTCAGGTGTGGTGCTGTGACCGCTCCTCTGAGGAGCCTGTTCCAGTGCCCAACCATCCTCTGGTGAAGAACCTTTTCCTAATGTCCAACCTAAACTGCTCCTGACACAACTTCAGGCCAGTCCTCCAGGCTCTGTCACTGGTCACCAGAGAGGAGATCAGTGCCTGCCCCTCCTCTTTACCCTCATGAGGAAGTTGCAGACTGCAATGAGATTTCCTCTCAATCTCCTCGAGGCTGAACAGACCAAGTGACCTCAGCCACTCCTCACATGGCTTCCCCTCCAAACCTCTCACCATCCCTGCTGCCATCCTTTGGGATCTCTGAGAGCTTTTGATCCTTCTTCTATTGGCACCCAAAACTGCCCCCAGCACTGAGTCTGCCCCAGCTCAGAGCAGAGCAGGACAGTCCCCTCCTTTGCCCAGCTGTGATGCTGTGCCTGATGCCCCCCAGGGCAGGGCTGGCCCTCCTGGCTGCCAGGGCACTGCTGGCTCGTGTTTGACTTGCCATGAACCAGGGCCAGGGCAGGGCTGGCCCTCCTGGCTGCCAGGGCACTGCTGGCTTGTGTTTGGCTTGCCATGAGCCAGGGCCCTCAGGTCCCTTTCATGGCACTGCTCTCCAGCATCACATTTCCCAGTCCATACATCCAGGGCTGCCCCATCCCAGGTGCAGAATCCAGCACTTGTCTTTGTTAAACTTCATATGGTTGGTATTAATTAATTATAAAGTGAGAATAGTTAATTATCTTGTTCTTAGTATTACATTGGTGACTTCTAGACAGTGGGCACTTGTGTGTTGGTTTAAAATTCAGATTATATTTTTGCAACAACATATGCAGCATGGCTCTTGTGGCAGAATAAATTACTGTGTTACTAGATTTTAGATTATAGTTGTTAATGTAAATATCTCTGCATACTGATTTGTATACAAGAGCAAAATCAAAAGCGCTATGAAGAAAACAGAGGTATGTGTACTCTCTTGAGGCAGAGAATGTTTGAAATTGGTGAAAAAACTCAAAGGTAACAATAGAGAAGCAGATGCTATTTTCCACAGATCAGTCCAAATAAAATGGAGGGGTTCCCTAGGGACATACATAATGAGGAAAAGAAACAATTTTTTTGTTTGTTTAAGTAGTCTGAAAATAGAAAAAAAATAGACCCAGAGTGCTTTAAGACATGTTTTACTCTGTCAAGATAATGCTGAATTTTTCTGCTAACCTTATATTAAAAAACCATACCATCTAAATTAAATATTCCACCTAGATTTTCTGAATGATTAAGCTATGAAATCCCCACAGAGAAACTTCATCAAGGTAAGAACATCTGCTTGAATACTACCTTCCCCCAACCAGTCTGGAAGTTCGGTTGGTGAAAGAAGAAATTTCCCAAGGAGTTTATTTTTGTGGTAAGTTAATTCCCCCCTTCTTAAGTGCTGAAAAGCATATTCCTCTTATTGGTGTAGGCAAATCCTTGGATTTGCAAAGGAAAATTTATGGAGATGCTGTTTGACTTGTGTGCTGGCTTGGAGGAGTTCTGGTGTCAGGACTGTGGTAGAAAAAATGGTCTGTGGTTAGTTTAGTGTGAAAGAGGGGAGAAGTTGCCTTCAGATTAGCAATAGCCTCATAAAAGCCCTTTGCCTCATATTCTTCCCCTCCAACCTAAGTGCTGTGACTACATAAAAATAAATTTAAAAAGGTGAAGGCTCTGTTTGCACATTAAAAAATTACTAAAACCATTGTAACATAGGGTTTTTCTCCCCCCCAGCCCCACTACCCCCTTGTGATTTTTCGAGGGGTTGGACATGTGCTGTAAATCCAGTATGGAATAAGGGCCAGGCTGTTGTTGCTTATTGGAGCTCTCCTCCAGAATTGGAGCTTAAAACATTCCTCAAGAAAGTTCTGTTTCCAAGGGGTTTAGCTGGCCCTTCCCTGAGATGGTAGGAGATGGGGAGAAGAGAGTTTTTGGAAACAAAAAAAATGTACTCTGGAAGCATGCGGGGACAGCTTTAGGGGATATTTGGGATGAAAAAATACTTTTAAGTGTCTTCAAGCATTCAGAACTTGAGCCTTTGCAAAGGAACTTTGTGTGGCCCGTGGCGTACAGGTGCTACCTGCTTACAGAGGTTTTTGAACAGAGGGGACCAAGAGGAGTGAAAACACAAACCCCTTGAGGCTGGCGGGGTGTGTTCGTAGGACAGAGTTAATTTCCCTTTTTCCGGAGTCCCGGCGCGGAGCTGGGCTGGATTCCGGCCGCGGAGCCGGCCTGGGCGCTCGGCCCGCAGGGGGCGCTGTGCGCGCGGCCGTGAGGGGCAGCGCGGCGCTGGGCGCGGAGCGGAGCCGGCCCCTCGTCTGCCCAGGGTTCTGGGGACAAAGTGCTCCGGAGAAGGGAAAATACGTGGGAATTTTGGAATGGCTGCATAATAGCTACCCTGTGCTTCCCGGTCAGAAACCAAACCTCTGAAAGTTGCTTTTCAGGAACACTGCCTTGTGTGCTTGCCTGCACAGACATAGATTCTCTTTTTCAAGAGCACTTTGACTAGAGATTGCTTCCAAAAGCCAGTTTTTAAGTATTGTCGATATTTTACCTATTTGAAATGTTTACTGGGCAGTTGCCAGGGAGCCTTTTGGGACCAGAGATGGAGCAGGACACCTGAGATCGGGGTTCTTGTCTCTGCTCCATCGCAGAGCTGCTGAACAGACTCGGGTAAAACTCTCCCCGCTCCCAGAGCCTTCGGGCACAGGCTCCTGCTGGCAGCCGTGCTGTTCCAGGTTAGATTAGATTAGATTAGATTAGATAAAACAGGCTACAAAGAGAGCCTCCTTTCTCTTCTTTGTGCTCCCTATTTCCAATAGAGAAAGTGTTCTTTGGGCAAGAATTCCCGCCCTTAAAGGACACGGGGAATGAAATTCTCACGCTTCGCTTGCTACCTCAGCTTTCAACTTGAATGCTCGTTGCAGCTTTTTGCCCCAGAAATTTAAAGTTTCAAAAGCGGTGAAAATTTCTGGGTAGAGGGGAAATTTGCATTGATCCAAAAAGCACAAGGAAATTTAAAGCAGACATAGAGAAATAATTTTAATGTTGATTTCAAGGGATCTAAGCTCCTGCTTTTGAATAGTATGCACCGCAAATGCAAAATTAATTAAATATTAAACTAAAAAATGCAAATAGAGTTGATTTCAGTATTTTTTTTACAAAATTGCCTGCAGAACAGAATGGCAGAAGATGGATAAAAGAAATGGAAAAGAGGCCCAAAGGGAGATTCTTTCTTTGGGATGCTGTTGGTTTGCTTGCTTGCAAGAGGTTTTAGTGCAAATTTCAAAATCCAAAACTCTTAAAGATGACCTGCAAAATGCCAATGTGCAGGATTGCATCCAAGAATCTGTAGTTAGTGGAAGCTTGTGCACCTAATACAAGGTAAATATACTTTTCTCTGTTTTTCTTACTCCTGCTAATTACACAAAACACAAGCAGATAATCTTATTAGCTGTGATTATTTTGATTGGGAGTAACCAATAAGCACATTAATTAATAATAAGAGCAATTTATAAGCAGCAATTGCAGAGGGAGAATTTTCTTCAGATCTGTTTGGCTTTCTAGAGCTTCAGATTGTGTGGTCATCACAAGGTCTTTAATTATCTGGACCATACTTTTTTCTCAAGTGCCTTTTACCCTGACCAAGCTA